GACGCCAGCACCTCATGTGCCCGCAGGTGCATCCAAATCGGCACCGACGCCAGCCTGCTCAACTCCGAGTTCTGCTTCATCCTGAAGGTGAGCGCCGGCGCGGGGGCTGCAGGGGCTGGCGGGGTGCCCTCTCGCTGAAGGAGGGAGCTCATCGGGGCGGGGTGCTGCCAGGGGTGATCCTGCCCTGCCTGATCGGAGTTAGGATCACAGAGCACGGGCCCTGCAGAGGTCACAGCTAGTGCCACCAGCCGCAGGACCAGCCCAGCCCAGGCAGACCCAACCTCTGAGCCAAACGACACTGTCGACCGTGACGTGACGTGACACGAGACCTCACACCTGAGCCTGCCACCGGGGCCGCGGCAGCCAGCGTCCTGCGGCTGCAAAGCTTGTTAGCGTCCACTTGAGAGAGCCCGGGGGGAGGCCACATCCCTGCTGCCGATCCAATCCATACCAGTCTGACATGGGGGAGGTCAGAAAGGAAACTTCCTCCCATCGGGCATCAGTCTGACCTCGAGCAGAGGGGCAAGACCCCACTGCCAGGAGCCAGCAGCTTTAAGTCCGTGCGGGATCACTGGCCCAGCCCAGGTGCCAACCCCAGCCTGGGCTGCAGCCAATACCCAATGCTGCTGAGGAAGGCAAAAAAAACTCCCAAAAACTTGACACACGTGGAGAAAAAAATCCTTTCCAGGCCCCACGCGGCAACTAGCAGAGCCCAGAAGCCGGGGAAACCCTGTAGTAGAGCACAGGCATCGCTGCGCCTAGATGCCCCCCACCTAGGGGCCGTCCACCCTCCTCTTGCACACCTCTGATGCAGAGTCCAGCCCTCCCCAGGCGTCTCCCACTGCCACCGTGCCCTAGCAGGGAAGAAGCTCGCTCCAAGCCACAGATAGACACTGACCAGGGGGGCAGGTGGACACAGACCCAGGTTCAGGTGCAGGGGTCAGGAGAAGGCCCCTGCAGCTGCTGTTGACAGCTGTTAGGGAGTCCTGCCACTGGGAGGCACTGGCCGCGTCTACACAAGATGCTCATTAGTACGGCGTCGTAGCGTCACTGGGCACGCGCTGTGATGCAAGTGTCATTAGGCAACCGTGCGGGGACGCTGCTGTGCAGTAATGCCGGGTATGGTGTAGTCGTTTCATTTTTAGTACTTGGTTATGCAAACGAGTGCAGTAACAACCGTGCAGTCAGCATCTCATCTAGATGCGGCTGGTGAGGACCTCGCCCAGTAGCCCTCGTGGCCATGGGCTGGTGCGGACACAAATGACTAGGGGCCCAGGACCCATGAGGACAGGCTGGAAGAGCTCCGGCCTCTGAGCGCGGAGAAGTGGCAACAGAGGTGGGATTTGATCAAATCCCTGAGAGTGATGACAGAAGCTGGAGCTGGCCTTTCCTCTGGCTGCCGAGGATGGGACTGGAAGCAGCAGCCTTGGGCTGCAGGAGGGGGATTGAAGTGGTGGGGGTGTTTCTGGCTACGAGGGGGGCCAAGCGTGAGAACGGGCCCCGAGAGGGGCAGGGGAGTCCCCGTCCTTGGAAGTGTTCAGGAGCAGGGTGGGCAGGCACATGGCTGTGAGGGTTTAGCCAGGGGTGATCCTGCCCTGAGCAGGGGCAGGACTCAGTCATCGCCCAGCCCGACTTCCCCACGATGCTTATGCTGGGTCTGTGACCTCCCTGGGGACCCCCCTGGCTGCGGGTCCTGGGTCCCTGGTCTGAGAGAGATCTCTGTCCGCTCCCAACACCGCCAAGCAAAGGCCTCAGAGGTGAGTGCCCCAGATGCAGCCTGGGCACCAGCCCCTCAATGCCCCAAATTTGCCCCCATACTACTCCCCCAGGTGCCCTTCGAGAGCACAGACAACCAGGGCATCGTGTACACCTGGGTGGGCCGTGCGGCCGACCCTGATGAGGCCAAGCTGGCCGAGGACATCATGAACCACATGTTCGACGACTCCTACAGCAAACAGGTGAGGCAGGCGGCGCGGGGGTCTGTGCCGGGGGGGGGGGGCCTGCCTT